AAACTTATTCTCCAGGCACTTTCCCACTTTTGCTTGTTTAAAAATAGGTTAGATTATGGATATAATATACAATACAATGTGTGCTTTCAGCTTTAGTATATTCTATTTATGTCTAATTTATAATGATACAAGGCATATTGTTGACCATATATTTTCATAGCAGAAGATAACTGGTGTGATTGGAGGCAACTAGGGTGACAAGATCCCAGAAATAGCCTATCCAATAAATTGTTTCATGGGTGTATGGAACTTCCCGCCACCAAAAACAATTTAAAAACAGGAAATATATATAAAAGCAATTTATTACATCTTTATTATAAACATGACACCATTTCTCAAGACATACACTGTAGGCTTAGACCATGGGAGAACAAAACCCCAAGTGTAACAGTCTTGATGTAGAAGCTTTCTGACACTCTTTGACTATCACTTCACCAGGAGCATAAATACACCTGGTTTTTCAAAAACTGGATATTGTATATTGCGTATTGTAACAATTGCTGATTTGTTGCCCATGTATTTGTCAAGACTGCTATTTCTTGTCTATGTTTTCATAGTCATTACTCTTTTTTTAGAGGACTTGATTTAAATTACTTTCATTTAATGTCACTATTTAATTAATGTCACCAGTGACAGGTTTCTCTGTACTGAACCTTGTTACTATAATCCACATGTTTGGTTGTGGCACACTATTCACTAACTGGTTACTAAGGTTCGCTTTCAGGGCTTGCAAATAAAAATTATTTATAAAGTTATTTTAAAGGCAGATTTTTTTGCAAACAGATTTTGCCTAAGCAGCATGTATGGCAGAACTAGATACTAATTCTAGTGCATTTTCGCAGAGAAATCAATTTAGCCAAAATCCTTGTGCTCCTCCCTAAAATGCACCAGGGCATGCAACGATGTAGGTACTACCTTCACCAGTGTTAAAGCTTGTGTCAAATGAAAAAAAAAATATTATTATTACATCTACTAAATATAGCAGCTACCTCATTAACAGTATTACTACTGCTACTAAATATGACAGCTTCCACAGGGCACCTAAGGAGCCACGGTCGACAGTTTCTAACAAACAGGATTCCCCACCCATTCAACTGTCAGCCAGGCATTCTCCAATGACAACTGAAAAAAAGGGGGCAGGGGATGGGTGGGTTACATAACTGATCAAATATGGACATGGACAAATTTCATCATTAAAGTTGAGCATCTGTATAATGTATACAACCTACCCCAGCAAAACTGACATTTTCAAAGAAAAAAATTGCCAGCTAATGACAGCATTGACTGCTTTTCTTCTGTTTGTACACAAATAGCCAGGGATTCCCTTCATCTACACCAGAACCTTATTCTAAATGAGAATCTAATATAGATGTTAATGGTGGACCTATATACAAAAAAAGTATTCGTGTTCCCCCTAAGAATACATACCAGACCGTTATGCCTAATTTGGGGGAACTGCATGAAAAAAGCAAAAACAAAATATTGGGGTCCCCCTCAAAAAAAATTTATATCAGACCCTTATCTGGCCTCCCAGGCCAGGAAAGATGGGGGGCCACGCATGACCCCAAAACCAAACCAAACCAAGCTTCATACCCTGAACATGTGGGACCCCTTTGACAAAGCACCTAGTTACAATGTTGATGAAGACAAGGGTCTCTTCTCCACAACCCTGGCTCAAGGGTTTGTGGGGGCCTGGGGGTGGGTGAGGACTTATCACAATCTGGAATAATAAAATCCTACTGACCAACAGACATGTTTGATCCTATTGCTGACTCGCACTAAATGACATCTCCCAGGGCCCCACCACAAAGAGGCAGGTGGTGCCATTGACCAACTATGGCCATCTACAAATCAAGAAAGCAAAGCCAAGATTATTGATCTGTTTTAAGTCAATGATCTAAAAAAGCGTTGAAGCCACATGATCTTAATGACAGCCAATAAACTATTTCCTCTAAAATTAAGAAGTCAGCAATGGCAGCTTCCATAGTTCCTCACTACAGGCATACTCTAATGCTTTTTAATATAGGTTATTTTATTATTGTTTGGATATTTTTAAATGGATGATAATAGACCTTGTTCATACGGGCATACCTAACTGTACAACCATGCAAGGGCCATTTTACAGGATCCCTTACAGGGATGAATAGGTGCTCCATGCATCTCCATGCAGGCAGTCCCATTCATGTCAATTATGATGCACTGGCTGCAAGTATACATCCTCTACTCTCAATCTGATATCCATGGTGCGAGTGTGTGACTCCTAATGCTGACAGTGTACATTTAGAGACACAGACTCGCACCCACAAGGATGTCAAATTGGGAGCAGCAGCTGTGTCCATGCAGCCACTGCATCCTAACTGACATAAATGGGACTGCTTGCATTGAGATGCAGGAAACACCTGTGCATCCCCCTGCAGGCAAACTTGACCCTTGCCATGGGTGTATGCTTAAGTACGCATTTGAATGAGGCCTGTATATCATCTAAACACATTTGTTTTTCAAACATTTAATACACCTATGACACAGGACTCAGAAAAACATTGTTATCAACAGAAATTGTTTACTTCCAGACTTCCTTTCTCTAATTGAAACTTCACAGGGAGCATGTGAACAGGCAGCCTGGAAGGGAGATAGAGGTAGGATGTGTCACTCTTCTAAGCCATTCAGTTCTGTATACAAATTACATAGCCTAGGGGTCAGATTAACATCCCATTACATATAGACCAAACTTCATTTCCCTTTGATGATTGACTGCTGTAATGGAATGGAGGACATATTAGAGGGTTGGAACACATACAGAGTATTATGGGAAAGAGCTCAGCAAGCAGAGAAATTGCGCACACCACATGGAGGCAAAATACCATGGAATATTTTCACCTACTGTGAATTGACTTCATTCAGTGGAAATCCAAATTCTGATAAATCAATTTAAACTAAAATCATCTTTAAAGAAAAAAAATATGAATTCACTGTATATGTATGTCTATACAGTATATATATATATATATTTCTTAAAGCCAGACACAGCAAGCTTCTCAAATATGCTTTTGAATAGAGTGCAGCCTCTGATCATTAGATTCTCATGTTCAGCTATGTGTTTGCAGTGGGTTTAAGGCCTCATGCACACTGGACGATTTTACAGCTGCTGTTTTTGGCTTTTGGCCAGTAAACTCGCCAGCATGTTATCCTATGTGTCCATGGACATGTAGGCTGTAATCAGAGTTTTTTGGCTGGGGAGTTTTTTGGCTGGGAAAAAAAACCTAGTGGGTTTCTAGAAGAGTTTTTTCAGCTGTAAAAACGCTCTAACGCTGAAAAACGTGGCAAACCAGCATTTTGGATGTTTTTTGAGCAAAAAAATTATTTTCTTGCAGACATGGAAAAACGCAGCTAAAAGCTAATGCAAAAATGCTAAAAAATGCTGAAAAACTTGCATTTTTAACGTGACTTTACACAGCTAACGCTACCAGCATTATTAAAGTGCCCAATGTCCATGGAGTCTAAAGGTAAGGCAGTGCATCAACCAGTAAACACAATGCACGCACTTTGACAGCCTGAGATTCAGTTTTCCTCAGTCAAAGATACTAGCAGCTACAAAGATCAGGATCATCAGCTAGCCAGCCAGCTGTATAGCTGAATGCCAGTCTACAAATTAGAGCTATGCAATAGATATGCTGTATTCCATATGTCAACTTATGAGTAAATATTCCATGCTTGTCTAGAGTGCACATCTAAGCGCTGTAGTATATAAGGAAAGAAACAGGGCCATTGAGCGGCCTTTATGGCAACTACAACAGTATTAATTAAAATGATTTATTTATTCAATAAAGCAATAATTTGAATTAATACTGTTGTAGTGCCCATAAAGTCCACTCAATGGCCCTCTTTCTTTCCCAATGATTTGAACAGGACGTGGCACTTGGAAGCGTTGTATATATCCTCACAGTTACCACTCTGTGTTGGATACTATATCCTTACACTGTAGTATATAAGGTCATATGGTCATTAACAGATGTTCATATTATAAAATAGGACACATTTAATAAAGGGAAAATAATTGCAATGGGCTATAACATTTTCTGGAGTCTGATAGCAGGCACAGTAGTAGATCATGTCTATGTTCCTACATTTCACATCCCAGAAAGTATATTCCTAGTGCAAGCAAGTAAAGAATATGTTATAGAACTCAAAACCAATTTCATTTCAGACACACTTGATGATCACTACAACTATTTAAATAGGTTTCTGCTATGCAAGTACATTGGATGTAAGGTTGCCCCATACGCTGCAGTGAAGGCTTTGATCTAAGTAAAAAGCCAACGGAGCACACAGCAAAGAATACATTATTCTGCATTCATTCCTTCCTTCTAATGAATCATGACTGTTACATAAGCCCATACAAGTCTGTGCAATGACTAACTCCAACATCATCTCCGAACAGTTAGCATCAGAAAATATAACCTGAAGAAACAAAGTAGTTGATGAATACCTAACACAATCCATGCCCATTGTAGAACACCTTACAACAGAACATTGAATTTCAACTCCTTACATTTATATTACTGGCTGGCCAGGTATAAGACTGTGGCCATACACATAGTGATGTGTTATTGATCTTTGTATGAGCAATTCATCATCAACTGAAATATCAAACGGTATTGTTCCAGACTTGTACTCAGCTAAAAATATCAATCCAAAATATGATCCTGAAGTAATAAATGTAACAATTAAAATCTATTGTATAATTACTCTGTATTGCATTTGGTTATACCATAACCTATACCATAGGCAATTGATGATGCAGATTCAAGATCAATCAGGAAATCTCCAAATTGATCAAATAGAGGGACTTTGGTTTGTGATTTTTATTTGATTTAATTGGTTTAGTCACATCAAATGATCGATTGAATGATCAGACTGATACATGTGTGGCTATCATAAAAGTGTCCTTAATCCTCATGATAAAAGTTAAGATAAGAAATAGCAAAGCATGGAGTACTCACTTTTTCCTCTATGCCATTTACTAATGAAAACTCTAACAGGTTGTTGTCAGTGATTTCAGCCCCTTTATCTCCCAGGGAAGTGGAAACACAAAAGCAGAATCCAAGGAGAAAAATCATGTTTAAATCCTATGGGTGTTATGATTGTCCCAGGGAAGACTGATGTCCTTTCCAGCAGTGCTGGGATTGTAGATGCAGGGTGGTGAGCTGCCAGTGTGCAGCTGGCTCAGATGGCTCTAAGACACTGGAGAAAGAGGCAGGCACTCCCAACCCTCCCACGCCTCACTCCAGCCTCTCATCAATGTTCTCTGCACCAAACAAGTACTGTCAAATATTCCCAAACAAAGTGTAGTCACCAGGAAATCAGACAAGAGGAGGATGCAAGGGTGTGTACCATGTATTTATGTTCAGCTTACAGATCTTGCAATGATCTAGTTTAAAACTTTGGTACAAACTATGCAAAAATCTGCACACTGTCTGATCATCTGATGTTTCAAATGTTTATTACTGCCATTTATGTTGCACTTGTTTCAATCTGTATTTTGCATTTCTGGTGACAGATATTTATCAAAACAGATTTCAGCCTTTTGAACATGTCATCCTATTTACTAAATTTACTAATTATGGATTTTAAGCAGCTGGATAGTGTTGTACTCCCACGAAAGGGGCAATATAAATGTCAATGTCAGTGTTACCTCATCTTCAACAGCTAGTTCTGTTTTGGATTACATATTACAGCTGTGATCCCATAATTCTCTTAAATAAAGTTTTCAGGTTTGTGAAATCCACACACTGCCCTGGGGAACATGTATTAAAGCAAACATTTTTTTTTATTCGGCCAGGAGCAGCGATTTTTTTTTAAAATGCTTAAAGTGGAACCAGGGCCATCTTTAATATTGATTGGACCCTGGGCAAACATTTCTTGAATGTTTACAAAGTGCAGGATTAAGGGGTGTGCTATGTAGAGAGTGCAGGGTTGAGGGTGCTCTATGTATGGAGTGCAGGGTTGAGGGGTGCTCTGTGTACGGAGTGCAGGATTGAGGGGTTCCCTGTGTACGGAGTTCAGGGTTGACGGGTGCGCTATGTACGGAGTGCAGGGTTGAGAGGTGCGCTGTATAGAGGCATGCACACACACACAGAAACACACTCACACACACACACACACACACACACACTCAGACACACACACACACACACTCAGACACACACACACACACACACGCAGACACACATACACACACACATACACCACACTACACACACCAGACCACACATACACACACACGCAGACACACATACATACACACACACACACTCAGAACACACACACAAACACACACACACACACACACACGCAGACACACATTCAGAAACACACACATACTCAGACACACACATACACACACACACGCAGACACACATACACACACACACACACACTCAGAAACACACACACATACTCAGACACACACATACACACACACGCAGACACACATTCAGAAACACACACATACTCAGACACACACATACACACACACGCACACACATTCAGAAACACACACATACTCAGACACACACATACACACACACTCAGAAAACACACACACTAAATTTTCAGAGTGGGGTTGCAGAAGAGTACTTACAGTGTGTCTGTGCAGGCTGCCAGTGAGGAGGAGCTTTTGCCTGTGTGGATTCCCTGCCCCCTTCCTCCTGTGCTCTCCTATGGAGATCGATGTGTACAGCAGGGAGGGTTCTGAGCGCCCACCGGGAGAGGAGAGCTGCCACTTGTAAATATAGAAGCAGTGCTTCTGTATTTACAAGTGTCAGAAGTGAGCAATGCCGGAGGTGGCGGAATTAAGGCTGAAACTTTTGCCCCACGTTAAAGATGGCCCTGAGTGGAACTATACTCACCTTGACTGAAGAAGCCTTGAGGGCGTAACATGTATAGGGGCGGAGCCATGCTGCAATCTTTCCTCAAGATGAGTAATGTCCTGGGCGTTTTTTGTCAATAGTGAATGATCCCTTGATATGGTTTTATGGTTTATATCATAGCACTATGAGTGCTTCTATAATGTGAGTAGCATTTGGATGGTTTTAACTGAGTCTTTTAAACAGAGAGCACTATTGGTCCTATTTCTGTATTGGCGTGTGATCTAACCTGTGCTTGCTCACTGCAGGAGGAGGAGAGTTTTGAAAAAAAGGCAAAGAGATGTGGTGGTGGAGGATTTATCAAAAGTTTTTATGTGACCTTGATATATACAAATAGGGTCCTCTATAGGATAGGAGCTAGTGAGGAGCTAGTGATTGCACTGTTCCTGATTCTGAAGGTACATGTTTGTTTACCTGCATGCATAATAATAATGTGTGTGCATTTCTTGGATATATATAAATAGATCATTTGGGTAAGGAAAGTACTATATATATTTTTTTTTTTTAGTTTGCATGCGCCTGTACTTGTGAGATGGAAGAGGAGGAAGAAGGAGGAAGAGAAGAAGGAAGTAGAATTCTCTGAGATATTCCCTGGGATTGATTTAATTTTGCCAGTGTGACCTTGATTTAGATTGGGGTCCAAATTTAAAGGTGAGAACATATTTTGCATCGGATGATGAGAGAGATAATTATTAAAGAATTGGAAGACAAAGAGAGACTACATAGGATTCTGTTAAAGTGGTGAAGGACTATTGATAATTTTGGCACAGAATATTACGTTCAATATTAATTTATTTTTGTTTTTTTTGGTGAAGGACTATTTATTTTATTTATGGACTTCATTAATTTTTTTTTTAATTGATGTATAGGAACATTGCGCTGCATCTCTTTCATATATATATACTCACCTTGGCTCAAGTGATAGCACATCCTGAAGCTTCCAGCTGGCTGCTCACATCTTTGAACTGCCAACTTCTGGGTATCGAGCACCAGCCGCTTTCATTGGCCAGATCGATATGACATCACTCCTATGCTTGTGTGGGAGTCCAGTAGGCTTCGGCATTGCCAAATTTCTACAGTGTGCTACAGAGGCAGACAGGCAGGTAGGTAAGTTTAACCACTTGAGCTCCGAAAGGTCTTTCCCCCTTCATGACTAGGCCATTTTTTTGCTTTTCGGCACTGCACTACTTTATCTGGCGATTGCACGATCTTGCAACACTGAACACAAATGAAATTAATATAATTTTTTTCACACAAATAGAGTTTTCTTTTGGTAGTATTTGATCACCACTGGTTTTTATTTTTTATAAAAAAGACTAAACATTTTGTGTAAAAAAAAAAAAAACTGTGTTTTTTTCTAGCGCAACACCGCCGTAATCTTCTTGAAATTACATTTACGGAGGAGGAAATTTTGGATGTAATCAAACACTTGAAGAAGGGTTCGGCCCCAGGCTTGGATAGCCTGTCAGTCATTTATTATAAATCTTTTGGCACCACCCTGACCCCATATATGTCCTATTTCTTTAACTCTCTCAGGGAGTGAGGAGCAGCGGAAGCTTCTCTGAACACCGCCTATAATATTGTGATCCCCAAACCTGGAAAAAACCCTTGAGATTTCAGTAACTATAGGCCTATTTCTCTCATAAACAATGATCTCAAAATAATGACTAAAATAATGGCCAAGTGGGTTTAATCCCAGATTGCCAAGGCTCAGACCAAATCTGCAGGGCAATAGACATAATATCTTTGCTGAGATCAGGTTGGGATGGTGCCCCCCCGCCCCCCCAAGAAGGGTTCCTTTTATCCATTGATCTCCAAAAAATCCTTTGATTCTGTATCTTGGCCATACCTGTTCTCAGTTTTGGACCGATAGGGATTTGGACCCCATTTCCTTGTAGTCTTGAGAGCTCTCTAATCCAATCCTCTGGCACAAGTGTGCTTACAAGGCTACTACTACTCTAAACCTATTTCCATTGTGAGAGGTACAAGACACGAGGAGGACTTGGTCTGCCAAACCTAATGTGGCACTATTGTGCAGCGCAACTGGCCCAATTATCCATAGCTTACACAAAGGGACCAAAACTGGACTGGGTACCGATGGAAAGACAGGCACTACCTCTTTACACTATAGATTTGCTACTATGGAGTGAAGCCAAAAGCAGATCCCTCAATTTTAGCCCCTACCCTCTCTCACTCTATGAGCCTCTGGGATTCTCTCAAACAACATCCCTCCATCTCCTCTCACCTTAGTCCCCTTGCTCATCTCTTTCATAATCCCCGTTTTCCCCACAGGAATGAACATCGTGGCTTTTAAATTGTGGTTGGATGAAGGACTGTATAGGATTGGGCACCTCTTCAAATTGACAGGCCCTATAACTTTGGATTTTTGTGTAAGTTCACTCGAAATGTCCCAAAAGAGAATGATTTAGATTCCTCCAAATATCTAATTTTCTACATTCGATTTGGATGAAGAAACCAGCTCCTCCCTGTCTCACACCTTATGAACAGTGGTGTGGCCAGAATGCAGTGCAAAGAGGAGGGATCTCCATCATTTACAAGTCACTTGCCAAGGATCCTAACAACCTCCCTTATATGCTGCAATGGGAGGGTGAACTGTTGGAGGAATGGGACTTAGAAGACTGGTATAGAGGCTTCTCTCACTCTTTTAAGGGTATTTTGAATTTCTCATTGATTGAGGCTAACCTGAAACTCATAGCCAGATGATCGTTAAATCCTGCTAGATTAGCAAAAGTTTACCCTACAGCCTCCCCACTTTGTTTTAGGGGATGTGAACTCACAGGTACTATGCTCAACGTGTGGTGGTCCTGCCACAGGATCCGGGGAAAACGTAAGGTTGCTGGTATAGCGGCCCCTCAGACCTTGCAGTTTGCCTTACTTAACATGTTGTTGGCCGCACGTCCCCAAAAACAAACAGAAATTACCTTCTTCATTCTTCTTGGGACAAAACTGACTATTGCTTGCTCATGGAAGACACCAAAAGTCCCCTCAAAGCCACAAGATGGAAAATCTCTTGGATAATGCTTCAAGAAAAAGCGGTCAGTGTACTCCTTGATAAGGTTAAACAGTTTGAAATCATATGAGAACCCTGGGCCCAAGAAGTCAATATATCTGGGATGACACCAAGATTGGTCACTATTCCTGTCCTTGCCTTCATCTTTCTCTTGCTTGTC